TTTTTTTGACCTTAAATTTGAACCACTACCATCTACCAACTTGTCTATATCATCATTCATTTCATATGGGCTTTTAATTTGTACATACAAATAGATAATACAAAACAAACACAATAATTCAATTAAATTATTTCAAGTCTTATTCAAGCTTATATAAATATATTGTGTAAATAAAAAAATACATATTATTTAAAGCTCAAAATCTATACTTATATAAAGAAGCATCTTATTTACTAAAATTAGTAGCAAAAAAAATGCAGCATTTAATGCAGTCCATAAATAGTAGTATCATTATTTTTCTTATTTTTTTCCTTTAAAAATCATACAATTTAATTTATAAATACACTTTAATATAATCATACAATTTAATCATACAGTTTAATTTATAAAAATCATACAATTTAATTTTTTTCTTTAAAAATATGCTTTAATATACATATACATAGTACTTTTTGTAATAAATTTGAATAAAATGTGTTACCTAAATATCTAAACAATTTAAAAATTCAAATGTTTAAATTAATCGATAAACAATTTATAAGTCTCTATTTTATTTAAACTAGTACAGAGCTCGTGCGATGCACGGGGTGCACAATTTTAAGGTCATTTATCCATTCTTATAATTATATAAATGAATAAAAAAATGTACGTGATATATATAGTACGTGACATTGTTGTAAATATTTTCCGGGGTAGAATCGAAAGATTCGGACACCGGGTCGTGTCTCACGAGGAAGGTTAGCCGGAATATAATGCACGTTTATTCAAGAACACAAAAAGAAATAAAAGAAGTAAAGTTCCTAAACATTCTAGTTCAAGTAATTGGATTGGTTTTTAATTATCAACTATTGCAAATAATTGAATTAAACAGTAAAAGTAGCAAGCAAAAACGAAGAACAAATAGGATTTAACGAGCTAGGGAGTCGGGGATATCCGTTTTGATTCGAGAATGCAATTGATGGGCAAGAGATTATTCGGTTAAGTGATTAGAATAACCTATCGTTCAAGTTTTCATTCTCAATAACTGTTCGTAACAAGAGAACAAGCTTAAACGACAAATTAACAATTCAATTAACGTCTAGGCAATACAGTTACGAACAAGCCTAGTTCATACGAGCCTATTTCGACCGAATCATCCCCTTTCGGTTCTAAGAGTCGATTAAATTAGACTAGAGGTTGGTTAATCAACTAGTCATTTAGAATTTTATGAAAATCATACATGAATTAAACGAACTCAATTAAAATAATTGGACGTTGAAGTGTCACCCCTTCAACAATTCGCAAAACTCGAGCCTGATAATCGAAATCCCTAGAAAAAAAAGAACAACTCGCACAAATTGAACAATCTCAAGCCCGACAATCACAAACGAATTAAAACATCAATCCCCTAATCCCTAGCATATTTATTTAGCTATTCATAATCGAATTAACGGTCAAAATCATCATCATCAACGAATCCATATTCATCAATTAATTGAAAAGAAAGAAGATCTTACGAGTAATAAATCCGAAGATGAATGACAATCCGAATAACAAGCTTGAATCCGAAAACAATAGCAAATTCCGAGGTTCAATCCGTGTTCTCCGTCGAAAATTATTAAAGAAAGATCAAAAGCACAAGTTTTTCTTTCAAAACTAAGGAACAACAAAATTGATAAAACCTAGCTGGGTGGCCGACTCTCCCCTTTCAAAAACGAAATCTGCTCTAAATAAAAAACTGATCTGCGCGCGCCTCGCGGCCGCGGAGGAGCTCACGGGCCGCGGTGAACGATGGTCCCGCGGCCGCGACTCATCCC